CAAGGCTCGTGGGTTCGAGGCCCGTGTAGGGCTCTGTGCTGACAGCTCAGAGCCTGGAGCCTGCTTCGGATTCTGTGTCTTCTTCTCTCTCTGCCCCTCCCCTGCTCATGCTCTGTCTCTCAAAAATAAATAAATGTTAAAAATAGTTGATATTATGGCTTCAGGCTTTCCTCCCTACTTTAAGCACTTTGCCACACCATTAGTTTTAGCAAATATCATTTTTATTGTAAAGCTTTAAATTGGCCCACTGGAGGGGTAAGCCCTCATTTAAGTTAACGTCCTTCTATTTGGGTTTTATCTAATTTATCACTTGTCATAGAATCTTAATTGGGCAAAACCTAGGATGTAATTTAATGCAATATTCCTCCAAAGGAAGGCATGTTTCCTGTAAAATCCTTATCAAATAGTCAGCTGGTCTTACCTGAATAATTCCAGAAGGAATTATTGGAGATTCAGTGAAGGATATCAATGGACATTTAATTTAAATGAATTCAGCTATTAAGGAAAAGGGAAGGGATGGGAAGGGAAGAGAAGGGAAGAAAGACAAGAAAAAGGGACAGGGTATGGGAAAAGAATATATTTAAATCAAGCATATAATTCTGCCCTGAATCCACTGAGTGGCTCTGAGTCCCAGAGTGAGCTGTGCAATAATAAATTTGCCTTTCTTTCAGTGACTTCAATTCACACATGGCTCTCATGGTGGCAGTCACCTGGGTCCACATTCCAACCCCATCATTTACTAACAAGATGACCCTGACCAAGCTATTTCAAACAAAAAACAAAAACCTGTCTGTGCCTCAGTTTCCTCATCTGTGAAACGGAAATAATGGTACCCATGTCATAGAAGAGCAGGGACGATCAAAAAAGTTTATAAATTTGAAGTCCTTAGCCATATAATAAGGACTAGGTAAGTTTAAGTTATTATTATTTTATAAGACTTGGCTCTCAAACATAAGCCAACTATTTCATCTGGTATACAGCCAAAGAAACAATCCATTCCAAAAATGGATTAAAACTGAGCTGAACTTCACTGACAGCCAGGATGTTAGTCCTAAGGCATTTTCCGAAGGTAATTCTGACTCTTATACACAAACCCTAGGTCCCGTTCACTACAATACTCTAACACACACCAGGTCACTGCTGGGATGCTCCCACGATGAGAACATTTGCTCTGATACTGAGCCCAATCTTTCTGGAACTTCCACTCATTGGTCCTGGCTCTGCCTTCCCAAGTTACACAGAACGTTGCCAACCCACCTTCCAAAGACGGTCCAGCAAAGCTTAAAAGACAGTGACCATGCTGCTGTCACAAGCCAAATACCCACAAGCCCTCATCTGGTCCTCACAGGACAGTGCTAGCCAAGTCCTCTCAATGCTCCTGAGTTGTCACTGCCCCTAAGTGTGAAAATTCACAGCCTGACAAAACACCCCCTGTTCTCTGACCAACTCCCAATGCTGTGGGATCAATACCTTCCGAGATCTGGACATTTAACAGCTGTACAGCCATTAATCCGGTCAAGACTTATCTCCCCTAAACTTTAGGAATTAACTGGAAAATAACACCAATGCCCAAGCCCTTCCCATAGTATCTTTGCAATTCAAATGAATAAACTTGTCTCATTACTCTCTTCCTAAGATCTGGGCCGTTCATTAGCACAGATTTAAGAGCCACTCACTGTGAATACTTTTCCCTTTTCATCTATTAATAAATAATGCCTCTTTTTATTTTTGCAAACTGATTTCTAATTCATATCCATTATCTCTGATATCTCAGTGCAAGACTCAGCAGGAGTTAACAAATGAAGAAACAGAGGCTCAGACAGGGTAAGGGATTCACCTGGGATTCCATTATTAGTCAACGGCAAAGTCCATTTCCCAATCTAGAACACAGCCTACCAGACAACCAGGCCCATCTTTACTTGGGGACAGCAAAAGAACATTACTGGTTCGAGGAACACAGGTTCCCAAAAAAGCCGCTTCCAGGCAGTATGATCTCCGGAGGCTACGTAACCTGTCTGAGGTTGCTTTCCTCGTTCGGAAAAGAAGAGTGCGGCCCTCCTCACACAGCAGCTGGAGGGTCAGACAGGCTAACGGGAGTGAAAGAGCAGGCTGGGCCGGTGCGTGCTGGCCTCCCCATCTTTGGCTGGGTCCTCCCACGTCTGTGGCGTGGAAAATCTAACGAGACTTTGAGGAGCAGGAAAATAACTCAAAAATATATGAATACACTTCAACAGTCATGCCTCTCAGACGTGACAGTACGCAGCTGTAAATACACACTAAAATCTTATGGATATAAACACATCGTAAAGGAAATCTTTGTTGGAATCACTTATGTGGTGAGGAAGAACGTCATGATGAATGGCAACCATGAAAATTGGGAGGTGCAGCAAAGTAATGGAAACTGACAGTTTAAAAAGTAATCAGCTGGGGCGCCTGGGTGGCGCAGTCGGTTAAGCGTCCGACTTCAGCCAGGTCACGATCTCGCGGTCCGTGGGTTCGAGCCCCGCGTCGGGCTCTGGGCTGATGGCTCAGAGCCTGGAGCCTGTTTCCGGTTCTGTGTCTCCCTCTCTCTCTGCCCCTCCCCCGTTCATGCTCTGTCTCTCTCTCTGTCCCAAAAACAAATAAAAAAAAAAAAAAAAAAAAAAAAGAAAAGAAAAAGTAATCAGCTTATAAAGAACGATAATGGTCTCCCCTTGGCTTTATATTCCAATATTCTCTACCTTCAACTTTCATTACCTGTAAGCTGTTTGGGAACAGAGATTGGGTGTCACTGTTCTTCGTGTCCTGACAGTGTCCTACAACTACTAAGTGTCTAAGGGATTTAAGAAGCATTTAAATATTTTTGATTGGCAGGCTAGAAAAGTTTAATGAACTAATTACTGAAGCAAATACCATCACCCGTTTTTTATCTGGTGATGTACACTAGAAACATTTTGAAAAAGTCGTTACTATTTAATGTCTTTTTTTTTAAGTGGCTTACGTGGGGGAGAGATAAATAAAAGTCTTCATAACTTTTAAAAACGGCATATAGATCAGGGGCACCTGGGTGGCTCAATGAGTTCAGAGTCCCACTTCAGCTCAGGTCATGATCTCATGGTTTGTGGGTTCGAGCCCCGCGTCGGGCTCTGTGCTGACAGCTCAGAGCCTGGAGCCTGCTTCAGACTGTGTCTCCCTCTCTCTCTGCCCCTCCCCTGCTCACCCTCTGTCTCTCGTTCTCTCAAAATCAAACATTTAAAAAAAAAAATGGCATACAGATCAGACAAAATGGTTTCTGGATAGTTTGTCACAATTACTTACTTCAAGGTATTTTTAGAGTAACTCATTCAACAAATATTTACTAAAAACCTATTACAAAGGAGACTGGATCCTGACCTCAAGGTTTAAGCTTTCATTTCAGAATGTGAGAGATAAGACACATATGTCAATACCTCGCCACCCCCCGGAATCTAGAAGGGATGGGAGCAGACAGAGACGATGCAGACAGGGCTCAAGGGGGGGCGGGGGGAGACAAGTTACTTCCCACCAGTGAAAATCAGGAAAGACACCGTGACGGATACCTTGCTATATCTCCTCGGTAGAGAGACTTATACTCCCAGTTTGCAGGATCCGGTTTCTTATCTGTTCTGAAGGTTTCCCCTGTGAGAGCCTGAACGTCCTCAAGCCAGACGCAGCGGTGCCCAGTATCAGCGACGGCGTTCCCTTCTCGGCTGTGGGGCAGAGGAAGGTGAAGCACAAAAGGGACATCTAGTTACACGGCCCACCTTTTCAGAAGTACGGAAGGTAAACATTTCAAACTCCGCACGGCATCAAAGTGCTTAAATGCATAAAATGAAAGGCGCATGTGTCACAAAGATGGAAAAAACTTTAAAATATAAAGCAAAAACTGTCAACGCTAAGTGGCATCTTACCAAGAAGTCAGCCTACCTCAGAAATTAACCCGATATAGCTGTTCAAGTATTCCATTAAATGACTGTAACTAGAATTTCAAGCATATTTGGTAAACAAGTGGGCTGCCCTTGCTTAGCCTAAATCATCCAAAAGCGCTCCGGTTATTCCAGCCGAATCTTGGCAACAACAGCAAAGCTGCAGCTCTGAATGGGTCAGTCTCAGACATCACTGAGGCTTGGGCTGAGTCTTGTTTGGACAGCTGGGCTCTGTGGACGGTGCCTCGGCCTTGTGTGCTGACCCCCCCTTACAAAAGGGCAGAGAGAGTCCACTGTGAGACCAGACCCTTCGGTACCCCCAGAACCAACTAGAGAGTGGGCAGACTTCCTGCCAAGATGCGCATGGAATCACTTCCCAGGAGTCAAATGAGAGCGAAGGCAAGTCTTTCTGGCATCTAACATCCTCCCTGCTCTGAAGATCAGCTCATAATGCTGCTGACACACAAGAGGCTGCCAGGGCAGAGCTGCAACAGCATTACCTTTGCTCTCTTTGCTGTCTGGCTCTTCCCAGAGAGAAATAATGACTCTAAAGGCTTCTAAATCATTCTTGGCTGGGAATACAAAGGAATGGCATTTCGGGGACACAGAGTAGGTTTCAATCGGTATTTGCTGAATGACAGCATCTCGGGTCACAACACACAGCGATTTTTAACATAGTCCCCTTTGGAACACCCGGAGGGTTTTCTGTTGACAAACACCGGAAGGGGCAGCAAAGGGAAGGAATGAGGTGGATGCATTCCAGAAAGAAATGGAAAGCCTGTGGCGGGGGTGGGGGTGGGGGTGGGGGGCGGCTGCAGACCACTCCCGGGGAGGAGACAAGGTCTGATCCGTCCCCTCCCAGGTACTGAGGTCAAGAAGGAGGATGAGGTCTGGGCTGTGAGCAGGGAAGGGTCTGCCTCACCTGAAGATGAAGAGGTCACCCTAGGAAACAAAGGTCCAGGCGAAGCTGTCACCTTGGGGGAAGTGGCCCCTTGATCACCCTGAAATAGAGTCCCGTGGGGTATACTATACCCCTGAGAACCTACTTTCCCCACATCCTGGAAGTACTCTCACAACGCATCAGTATCTCAGTCCTTGTCTCTATGGAAACAATTCCTCCAGGCCATCTTCCCAGGGAGAGGCTACAGAAGTTCAGATCGAGAAAATAAGAGAGCAACAATCGATTTTGATCTTAATGGGGATATTCTGCAAAGTATCAGTGAACTTAAAAATGCCATTTGGATCACAGAAGTATCAAGAGGCTGTAAAGATCACCTCCGATGTGACTAAGCACAGGCTGAAAATAACTACCTTTCAAGTTCGAACGGTAGTTCCTGTGTGGGTTCAAGAAATCCTTTAAAATTCACTTTCCTCGACGGTAGGAAAAAAAAGGACAGGTAGCTAACGGTGAGTTTTCAGAAGAAACGATGATTAATGTATTTTTCTTTGAAGACATACTGAAAGCAAAAATATCAATAATTCACTCATTCACGTAACAAGACTGTATTGAGCGCTTACTACGTACCAGGCCCTGTGCCAAGCGCTGAGAGAACACAATGGCAAACAAGACGGGAGTGATTCCTGCCCACAGAAATTCAGTCAAATTCAGAGCCCTTTTGCTGGATTCCCTTGTTCTCCCCTCCTAGAGCAAACGTGGGTTACAGGTATAGCACCTGAGACACAGAGAGAGGGCTAAATCAATCTGTGTCTTCTGAGCCACGGAGGCCTGCAACGTTCTCCACGGTCTGATGGCAGAAGGACCCATGAAGACGGCAGCGTCTGCCTGTCTGATGGCAACTCTATGGGCCAGAGTCCAGACTTACTCCAACACAGAGCTCTCACTGACCATCAGTGAGACTTCTAAGCATACGATGAAAGCAAATCATCCCTAAGAGTCAAAACTTAAGAGCACTGCATTTTTTTTTTTTAAGTATGTCTTAAATTTTCTCTCTTCTAGCCCATATGAACAAAGGAAAGAAAAAAGTGAAGTGAGAAATCACTCAGGTAGTTTCACCACACGCCACCTGTCACAGGCACCACAGGGAAAAGTGCCTCCCTGTGTGGGAGGCCAGGAGACGAGGCAGAGAGGACCTGTGAGCACCTGTGCAGCCACCACGCTGTGGGACAATGTGAGCAACACGCTCACGGCAGACAGTGGAGCAAAATGTGGGGAGGAGTAAAGCCCCCAGGAAAGGAGACACTGTGATCACGAGCTGGTCCACACTTTCAACAGGGGTTCTAAATAAATGTGGAGAAAAGGACAAAGGCAGCGATGGAGTGCTACATTAACCTCAACCAAAGAGAGAGAGTGTGTGTGTGTGTGTGTGTGTGTGTGTGTGTGCGCACACGTGGGGGTGATGCGAGCGATCGGAAGTGTGGGGGCCAACAGCCCCTCCCAGATGGGACCCTACACGACGCAGGAAAGTGGCCCACATTCCCAGGCTGTGCGTGGCCCATCCGCCATCTTTCAAAAACCCCAAAGACTTTTTGTCTGAATCAGATTTTGACACAACCATTACTGTGTCTCAATAACTTTTCTCAAATAAAATCATGACTCTAATTTTTTGTAATGAAACTTTTCTTCTAAATGCTAACCTAATGGTAGAGCTCTCTTTGGAGAGTTTTGGACTCCAGTTGACTAAGTGGCTAACCAGGCATTCAAACGTCTAATTTGTGGCAACAACTGAGGGGAAAAATTCAAACTTTGAAGTCATAGGTATTTACGAACAGAAAACCTACTTGGGTTTCTCGGATTCCTTTTTACTGTCTCTAATGCTTCTGGAAGCTTTATCCTTTTCAGAATCACTATCTGGCTCAGACCCACTGCTACTGGACCGCCCATGTTTTCTCCTGGTTTTCTTGTGGTGATGCTTCCTTTTCTTCTTTTTCTCTTTCTTCTTTTTTCTGCTTGTTTGTTTGGGCTTTTTGTTAGTGTCACTTTCATCCGAAGGCTCTGATTTCAGAGGGCTCCTGTTGGGGAAAACCAACATCAGAGTAATTTTCAAAAGAGAATTAGAAAGAAGACTATGTAAATAAGCAAATATGTAAAAGGGAACTCTGCAGTGCCTTCCTGGGTCACAACTCCCCTTAAGGACTTAAGAGTTGGACCTAAAACAACAGTAGGTGAAGAAATCCTAATTTCAACAGTTTCTCAACCTAGATGTGGGGCTCAAACTCATGAACCGCAAGATCATGACCTGAGCCGAAGCTGGACGCTCAACTGATGGAGCCACCCAGGTGCCCCACATCTATACATTTTTGAAGGACAGTAATCTACCATTTTATCAAATACAGTACTTGTTTAAATAACATTATAAAAGGTTTATTTTCAGTCCTACATATTAAGGCAATATGTCCTTAATGATGAGGGAGGGTGGGGCAAGCTGAGGGCAAAATACGGGCTGGCACCCCGCCCCCCCCCCCACGTGGGATATGTGTGATGTGCCTGGGACACGCCTGGCTACCCAAGAACAGAGAAAGTGTTTAAGTGCTTGCCATGGTGATGTGGGAAACTAAGGCAAATGAAAACTGAAATTCCCTTACTGCCTACAACCCATTGACAAGTCCTTGAAACTGGCAGGGTGACCTCCCTCTAGGAGCTCAGCTGCCTCCAGGATGACGCTTTGCTGGGGGCAAAAGACAACCTTGGCTTAACATTATCCCAACCTCGAGGATCCTGTAAGTCGACTTCCCTCATCCCACCTGCCCCGAGATATATGCTGGCAATCCTACTCCAAGCTTGTGCCCCGCCCCCCATACATCTGAAGGGTCTCATGACTGAGGTTTTATTAAGCGGTAATAAACTGCATTTCCCTAGTAACAGCCGGCCCCTCAAGGTCCTGGAAACCTTGCTTCCAAAATTCCTTAGAGACTTACTCTATCCCTGACCCCCTCCCAACCCGAGGGTATATAATGAGCTCCCCCATCAGGACCCCAGTGCAGCTCTTCCTGCCCATGGGTCCTGTCCCCGTGCTTTAATAAAATCACCTTTTTTCACTGAAGATGTCTTCAACAATTATTTCTCGGTCGTTGGCTCTGGACCATCCCACCACCACCCCCAAAACTTCATCATTATGTTTTGCACTAAGACTGAAATGTGTCCATGTGTCAGATTTCTTTCAGTGTCTCTTTTGGTAAGCTCTGACATGATTCCTGGCACGTTCCCTCGGGGTTTTCTTCAACTCTTAGATACCCTGTGTCCTTTCCAGGAGGGGCGCTGCATGTAAAACATGGTCCCTGCTGGAAAACTCCCAGGGAGGTGAGGCTGAGGCAAGGAAAGGTTAGAGGGAGTCCCACAATCACAGAAGAGCTAGAAGAACAGTGGGGAGTGAGGGGAAGCTGTTGGCAAGGCGACAGAGGCAGCTGACTGGCTCAGAGGGAGTCCAGACTCAGCACCGGCAAGGGGGCGGGGGGGGGGGGGGGGGGGGGGGGGGGGCGGTAAACACACAGCCACCGAGGCCCAGGCTTCTTCCAGTTAGCTCAACCCGCTCTGCCCCGTGACCCTAAATCTACACGTATTTCAGATGTGCCCACAGAGAGGGAAGCTTTTCATCTGACACAAGGGATTTACTATTCAAAGGTACAGTAATTCATACTATTCATAGGATGAAGGCAAGAAAGAAACGCTTGTTATCTGCATGGGTGGGGGGGGGAAGCCTGTTGACAGGACACCAAGAAGCTGAGTACCCCCAGGAGCTGAGTAGCTACTCAGGCCGCTTGAGATCAGACCACACAAAACACCAGAAGGAAGCCTGTGCTTGGGACGAGGGGGGGTAGTAGCCATGTAACTAATACGTGTTCATTAGTCTTTTGCAAAGTTATACAAAATACAGCGTGAGGAGACTTCAAACTCTAATTTTAAGAATTTTATTTCTGTATCAGAAATATAACGGAACCTCAGTTTTCTAGAACTTTCCTGGTTAGTCTGTTCTGGCATATCTTAGTTGGCCAGTCTGCCCTCACCCCTATGGTCATCCCCAGTGAAAACAACACCAGTCCCATTGCCTCTTCAGGCACGGGGCTGGTCCCAGTTCACTCGTCTGTCGTACAAGCGTCTGTCTGGCCTGACCCCTCGCTTCTTGTCCTCCAAACTGTTCCCTGCCCACAGCCTCTCCTGACCCTCTGACCTGATGTTCAGGATGGCTTCTCTGGCTCTTAACCCTGTCACCATGCTTCTTCCTTGATTTAAACACATCCCTTTGCTGACGTCTGGATGAGCCCCTCTAGGAGCCCCTCACCCAGGATAGGTCCCCACCAAACCAGCCCTGGTTCCTCCAGCTGAACAGACCAAGGCAGTTCTGTAGAATTTGTTTTTGGGGGCCAAGGGGGAAAAAAGTCTTCTTTTGCTCCAACTCTTACTGTAAATAGCACTTCTAAAGACCTCGTGAATTTATTGTCTGATCCTTCCTCCATGATGAGGGATGGTGTGAATCTCAGCATCCTCATTACCAACATCAGTGAAGGCTACACAGGGCCGTGGTTCACCCAGTAATATGGTTCATCAGCTAATAGAACTAGACACTGGGGGGCACCTCGGTGGTCCCGTCAGTTACGCATCCGACTTCGGCTCAGGTCGTGATCTTGTGGTCTGTGAGTTCGAGGCCCATGTCGGGCTCTGTGCTGACAGCTCAGAGCCTGGAGCCTGCTTCAGATTCTGTGTCCCCCCTCTCTCTGCCCCTCCTATGCTCATGCTTTGTCTCTGTCTCTCAATAATAAATAAATGTTTAAAAATTTAAAAAAAAAAAAAAACTAGACACTGGGATCCTGAAGTCACCTCTCCTGTCATTTGATGTTTTCTGATAAGAGATGAATACTACGAAAACAAATAAGCAATAGATTCTAGTTGCCGCAAGTTCTGAGGAGTGGAGTTCTTTCCAACTTGTTACCCCGTAATATCCAAGTGGATCCTGAAAGCTAGGTAGCCTCTGGGCAGTAAAGGTTATCTTGGGCCTCAAAATCGCCACAATTACCTTGATAAATAAATCACTGTCTCCAGAAGCACCCAGATAATTCATTTACAGTAGCAGCTATCAGGTTACTTGAAAAATGTAGGCATAGCATAGGTGATAGTGAATAAAGGGTGTGGGTTCGGAGAAAGTCACCAACAGTGCTCACCTCCATGTTGACTCATGGGTACAGACAGGATGGCCGGTCCCAGCCTGGACCCACGCGAGGCTCTGCGTAGATTGTCCAGTGACCACCAGACCCTGTGGGAAGGTGGCACCGGCACAGGAGGGGGACTGAGGGAAGATTCAGGGCTAGGCCCCACCTTAGCCTCTGGACTAGGTGTGTTACTTTGGCCCCAGTCAGGAGAACTGGTGAATTTCCCAAATCCAAATGTCAGTCATGATTTCCTAAATGGAATGGATCACAGCCCTCAATATTTTGGAAACTAACCATATTGTCTCCCCTAATCTCTTCGGGGAGAGCTGTCTACTTCTACACATCCGCTCCCAGGAGGTCAGACCCCAAAGAGCTCCCGTTCCAGTGCAGGTCACAGGGTCGGAAGATGCTGCTTCAGCTGCCAGCTCGAGGTGATGTAGGCAGAGAGCTGGGAACAGGCGGGATGTGCTATTTTGATGTGCGTTGCCCCCACTGCAGCATAAAGACACCATTAAAATGACTTTGAAAACTTTAGACATCTTGATGTATCTGCTCATCTGAAGCTTACTTTAATAACTATAATTTAAAAAAAATCTTAATGCAGGGGCGCCTGGGTGGCGCAGTCGGTTAAGCGTCCGACTTCAGCCAGGTCACGATCTCGCGGTCCGTGAGTTCGAGCCCCGCGTCGGGCTCTGGGCTGATGGCTCAGAGCCTGGAGCCTGTTTCGGATTCTGTGTCTCCCTCTCTCTCTGCCCCTCCCCCGTTCATGCTCTGTCTCTCTCTGTCCCAAAAATAAATAAACGTTGAAAAAAAAAATAACTATAATTTAAAAAAAATCTTAATGTTTATTTATTTTGGGGGGAGAGAGAGACAGAGTGTAAGTGGGGCAGGGGCAGAGAGAGAGGGAGACACAGAATCCGAAGCAGGCTCCAGGCTCCGAGCTGTCAGCCCAGAGCCCGATGTGGGGCTCGAACTCACGAACCATGAGATCATGACCTGAGCTGAAGTTGGATGCTTAACCCAGCTTAAGGTCACCCAGGTGCCCCTTAATAACTATAATTTTAAATAGCTTCTATCCTGATCTTGATTCTTACAACTTATGTTTCACTTTTAAGGTTTATAATGACTGTTATTTAATGTTTATTTATTTTGAGAGAGAGAGAGAGAGAGAATGCGAGCAGGGGAGCAGCAGAGAGAGAATCCCAAGCAGGCTCCAGGCTATCAGCGCAGAGCCTGACCCAGGGCTCCATCTCAGGACCTCACGGACCTGAACCGAAATCAAGAGTCGGAGACTTAACTGACTGAGACGCCCAGCCACCCCTATAATCACTATTAATAAAACAGTTTACTTGGGAATTTACCTGGTGTCTATTTCTTCACGTACAGTTTTTATAACAGCAATCCCAAACTCCTCTAGGAATGTTTCCAGCATGTTTATTGCCTCCATTACTCACACTGGGAAATACTTGATTGCTTTCTGCTTTTTTGTTAACTCGAGAAACTCATTGATTTTCAAAAGGAAAACTCTTTTTTTTTTTAAGTAATCTCCACACCCAACGTGGGGCTCGAACTTACAACCCCAAGATCAAGAGTCACATGCTCCGCCAATTCAGCCAGCAAGGAGCCCCTCAAAAGGAAAACTCTTGCAATCAAATGAAATGACTCACGTCTCCCCCTCCAGCCACACTGCTGGGCCTTGCACAGCTCTGGACACATGTCCTGCTCCCTTATTTCCAAACTCTTTCCTTTTCCAACTCTCCCTACTGACTTCCACCAGCTACACTGTGCTATTCTCATTTCCTTTGGGGGTCTCAAATCTACCTGTTTCATCACCCACTGGGACTCATGAACCCCCCAAAATGACACATAATCCCCTGTCCACGTGTGCACATTTCTCTGGGGAGTAGATCCATAGCTTTTGTTGTATTCTCAAGGGTCCATGACCCCCTCTTCCTCCAAAAGAACAGCAATTGTCTGTCATTTTAATCAAAACTATCATTACACTATACTTGCAATATTAAATCACCCTCCTGGCTGATCCCCCTACCTCCAGTCTCCTTCCAGTCCCTTCTGGACGCTGATGTCACCCCACTGTCTCATCTGCCCAACACGAGGTTTAATTGCTTTGGTTCTTTCTCCCTCTGCATGCAGTGCCCACAGGAGCCTGGTGGTGGCGCCACCACACCGCTTTTATTCCCAATTCTCTGCAGCTCTCCCATCTGCCACACCTCCCCCGCTCTCTCCGCAACCCTCGCCCACCACCCCGCGCTTCCAGGCCCAGCAAAAGTCGCCTCCCAGACTAGGACCAGCCCCGAGGTAGGGTCCGGTTTCAGATGCAGACTACCTGAGTGGGGATGTAGGCCTGGAGGTCTACAGGGCTGGAAATGTCGATTGGAAAGTTTTTAAAAATCTTGAAAAAGGGCAAGCGCTCCAAGGGAAATAAAAACAGAAAACAGCCAAGGGCTTATCCTCAGTTTCTACAGCACTTAGGTGCTGGCATCAGTGCTCAGCAAAGAGCAGCACTCGAATGCTTACAGAATCAACGTGAGATGTCTTGTTCAAAACAAAACATATCTAAGCGGGTGGGGGATTATGAGGTCAGAATTTGCCTGCAAAATATTTCTAACAAACTGCTTTGTAAAAAAAACAAAACAAAACAAAACAAAACAAAAAACAAAAAAAAAAAAAAACCCAGGTGAATTATTTCCCTAGTCTTTGCGTCACAAATCATTTATCAAAGCATTGGAGTTGATAAGCAGTTTTAAGCAATGCACGTCAAAGGACAGTCCCGAATAGGGGCAGGTTAAATACACATCTTTCATGAACATTTTTCCAAGACAAGATAAGAAAGTAAATCTAAAGTGGAGAGACAGAAAATACACGGGATTAGGAATCAGTAAACAGCTGTCCCTGGTATTTGCTCAATTACTGTTACGTATGCAACTAACCCCGGTCATAATTATTTAGGAAAGAATCCGTGTCTTCTTTAGCAACACACTCTACACCGATACCGTCGGTCTCTAAGGTGCAAATGGGTCCGCAGGTTAAGTTAGGTGTTTGATATTATGAGTCAATATTAATATTAAACTCGGGGCTGAAGAGAGAACAAAAACCAGGTCAGTGCGCAGCTAGGTAACCACGGGATGGTCTGCGACTTAGGCAGGCGGCTGTGAGCTGCCCAGTTTAGGTGGGAGGGAGGTGGCAGTCCCAGCAGGAGGCCGGTGTCTCAGCACGCGGGCTCCTCCTTCACCCTTCGCAGCAACGGTGCTCCCCAGTCTGATGTTCCTATAGGGCGTCATCTTCTTCATTTGCAGAGGATGATGGACAATATCAAGTTCAGGCAAGGTCAGGTCACTTGCACAAGGTCCCAGCCTGTAGGCACACGGTCACCGTGGAGCCAGGCCTCTACCTGACGATCGACTCCTTCCGGAACTGGCAGCGATCTATCTGTAAGTTCCTCTCGGGCTTAAGCATGCCCTTTGGTCCTCCGCACGCAGGAGCGTTTTTAAAAACCTTTGCAGCTGCGCTCCTGACAGCTCCTCAAAACCCTCATCCCCAAAGCTGGCTGCCTGCAGCATTCTGCCAGGGTTCGGACCACACGGCCCGACTGTGCCCCGAATCTAGAGGAGGATTTGCAAGCAGGAGAGCCCCCAACCATAACTGCTTCCATTTTACACGTGACCAAATGGGGGACTGAAACACCCAAGAGCTGGCCCAAGATTGTGCAGCTGGCTCATGGCATGGCCGGGGCCGGTCCAGGGGAGTCTCTGCCGCACCCCACTTCTTCCAGCTGTTGGTGGCCTGGGGGATACCGACCGAAGTAAGGCTGCGTTTTTAGGAGGTGAAAAGTGGGTCCTTTAGGAGTCCTGAGCACCTGGGGATTTTGAGTCTTATCGGAAAGGCATTGTTCCAACTTACTGGATTTTTTTTTTCTTTTTACAAATTGACCCCCTGCCCTCGCCAGACTCTTCCCACTCATTCCTTCGGAAACATGTCTACTTTTGACAACTCTTGACGTTAGTACGCAGCTGAGGTGAGCGCGGGGATTCCTGTCTCCTGGACTCCGTTGTATATTAATGAGCACTGGCAAAGAACAGGAGGAAAAGGTCAGAGCTCCCGAGCTTTTATGGGGCAGCCAGTGGCCAAATCCTCAGATCTGCAACCTGCGTAGGGTGCCCATGTCCTCAGGAAAGGCTTCGCACAGCTCAGAAAAGCCCTTCAGCTGATCAGCTTTGAGACATCTCTGAGCTTCCTGTTTCTACCAATTAAAGCTACCTCACCCCTTTCACCTTTCCTCACTGGTGTAGGAAGATGGCCCAATTTGTCAGCAACCAAAGCAGAGACGATGGCTGAGCTGACTCATTTAGGAACAGTAATTCCTTCCAGAGAAGATTCTCCATTCATTTAGACACCGGAGCAATTATTTGCTGGCTGACAGTTGTAATTACTTTTTGCTGCAGGTAGGTAACTGTTCCAGAAGCCAAGCTAATAGGATTACTGGTTTCTGAAGGGCTTTTGGAACAAGTAATTTTCAAGTAGTCAGCGCGGCATGTTCAGTGAACTTTCCACCCAGGGTAAATTCCTTCCTCTGTGGCTCCCCACGGAAGGCCAGGCGTGGGTTCTTCAATGGGGCACTTTGGAACTGCAGGACATTTTTCTTCCAGCCTCCTTTGTTTGAAAATGGGACCTGAGCAAATCATGCTTGGAGACGTTTCACGAGCTTGCCCATAATTTTCAACTGCTCTGAGACTTGGCATTAAGTTGTATCAACCAACCAACCCTTTTGGCCACAGCAGGGTACATCCCTTTCCCAGTCATGGCAGGTCGGGGTAACTTCTCCCTCCACGCTGCCCATTTCTGAAGGGAAATTAAGGGGAAAAAATAGACCCGGACAGCATTTTGGACAAGGTTTCTAACACAATTACCCTCTGTGTGCCTTGTAGATAGTGATTTTGCAACAAGGTTTTCTATTTGGTAAGAAAAAGGCCTTTTGAATGCTTGTCAACATTTGTCCCTAC